GCATCTTGAATTCATTCCTTGGGCTTTCCGAGCGAGGTGGGATTATTGAATCAAATGTGACTAGTTTCTATTTGTATCTGTACACTGATACAAAGGGTTGCTCTTTATCTATCATCCTCTCTCATTTGCTAAATCCTTTTCCTCTTTTTGATATGCCATTCTAAACGCCTTCTCGGACTGGCATCTCTCTGTCGGTTCTTTTTCTTCTTGTACCGTGTCTCTTGCGGCTTTCTTCGGGGTAATCAACCTCTTCGCTTGTTGTCCTCGCTCCTCCTGTCTCATTCTCGTCTCCTCGCTCGCTCTTTCTTTTTTTTTTTTTTTTTTTTTTTTACACTTTTGACACTCACTTTGCTGTTCACTCCTGTTCCCTCTCGCGCTCTCTCTCTCTCGCGCTCGCTCGCTCTCTCGCATACTTTCCTCCCATTCAAGAGGTTATCTTTTTCCACTCTATTGATTGTTTCTTTCGTTCTGCTCTCTTTTTTAAATTTAAGTAATAGTCTCAAATTTGTTATTTTTCTTTTTTTTTGCCTGTGCTTTTGAAGGCTCGATATCACAAAAAAAAATGCCGAAACCAAAATTGTCAAGCAAAGACTTAATTTTCTGTGCTTTTGTTCTATAGCACTTATTACCACCTTCCATACTTTTAATTTGGTATTTAATCATTTTGGAGTTGACGTTTTGGCATATGGTACTGAATAAGATCATTCCATTGCTTCCTGATGTGGTACTGTAGTTTTTCCCAGGGCCCATCATTTAATTGAAGGAATGTGCTTTTCGCCCTTGTCCTTTTTTTGACATTGGTTGTTGAAATCATTGATGTAATGTGTGGACTTATTCTCTGTTGGCTCTTTATTCCATTCTACCTAGGCTTTACTTTACGTCTGTTTTTTTGACAGTACTCCCATGCTGTGTTTTTGATCACATAGCCTTCTGTAAAATTTTGCAAAAATAAGCGTAATGTGACTCTTCCAGCTCAAGGAACCTCCAATGTTGTTCCTTTCCTAAAGGATTGCTTTGACTCCTTCACAGACTTTTGTGATCTTCCCTCTGCACATTTTAGATTTCTTGTTTGTTTGTTTCTGTAAACTTTAAATATGGGTTTTGAAGAGCATTGCATAAATGCATTAGACTCTATAGAATTGGCTTTAAGTAGTGAAGGACATCTTAACAATATTACTCTTTTCTAATCTATTAAACCATGAGATCAGTGTTTATTTATGCCTTACTTCACCTTTCTTTTTTCGTGTTTTATAGTTTCAAGTATACAGATGTTATGTACAAATTTAATTCCTAAGTATTTTATATATTTTTTGGATTATACTTGGTTCATCGGTATTGTTTTCTTCTTTCTCTGTGACGTCCTTATTAGTTTATGAGGCCAATACTGATTTTTGGAATCTGATTTGCATTCTGAACCTTCACTGAAACTTGTTTATACTTGTATTTTTTTTTTTTTTCTTTTTGCTCGAGTTTTAGGGGTTTCTATATATACAGATTATATTATCTATAACCAGAAAAATTTGCTTCTATCTTCTCAATTTTGGGTGTTTCTAATTTATTTTGTCTAATTGTCCTGGCTAGGACTTTTAGTACTATATGGAATAGAAATAGCAAGAGTGGGCACCCTTATATTATTTCTGACCTTAGAGGAAAAGTTTTCATTTTTTTTACCATTATGATGATTTTACTATTATGATGTTAGCTGTGGGCTTGTTATATATGGCTTTTATTGTGTTGCGGTACATTCCTTCTATTCCTAATTTGTTTTATCTGATATCTTATGAAATAATGTTTACTTTTGTTAATGCTTTTTCTGCATCTATTGAGATGATAATATGATTTTTATTTTTTATTCTGTTAGTGTGGCATATCACATTTATTGATTTCCATATTTTGAACCACTCTTGTATCTCAATAAATTCTACTTGATTATGTTGTATGACCCCTTTAACGTGCTGTCGAAGCTGGTTTGCTGGTATCTTGTTGAGTATGTAGCTTTGTCATTTACGTTGTCTATTCAAACTGACAGCTTGAATGTTTGTAGTTATTAATATAATGATTTATAATATTCTTCATATTTAATAGGTATCAGTGACTTGTCATACATGAAGCATACATATTTTTCCCACTTTGTCTATATTTTTGTTTTTGAAAGTTTAAATTCAATATAGTAAAATTTAGACTTTTATTTTTCCATGGTTTCTGCTTTTGCTTCCTTGCTTAAAGTTGTATACCTGATGCTGCAATTATATACATTTTGCCTACATTTTTACAAGTTATTTTGTGGTATAATTTTGAAATATTTTGATCCAAAAATATTTAGAAATGTACATGTTCAATTTCCATGTGTATAAAAATCCAACTTTTTGCTTGTTTTTCAAAAAATATTTTATTCCCTCCACAGTGCATGGATCTATTCACCTTTCCTTTGAAAATATACCTTTATTACCAGACAAAACTTAGATCAGTTTCTGCGCTTTTTTTAAAAAAAAAACAAAACTATTCTAATCATTTTTTTATTGTGAATAATTTAAGGAATCATTGATTAGTGTACATTCAACAGCACAGACTTCCTACCACAACTCCCTCCTGATTGCTAATTGATTGGTTTCTAGATCTGATATGTCATTTATTTCCTCCATTGCATTCCATATGGGTTAACTTTTGCATTTTGTGTGTTTAAGAAAAGCAAAAATAGAGATCAACCAAGCACTTTGCTGAGAATTGTCAAATGAATTTAGTATAATATTTGTTCTCACAATTAGTTTTTCTGTGTAGGTCAGTTTTCTAATTTTTGTACAACTATGGATTGCTGCTTAAAATGGATATTGATTAATTACACAGGGGTCAGCTGAAGATGGGATGTAATTGATCCATTATCCAGAAGAAAACAAGAAGAAACAAATGTACACTTCTTATTTATGTTTCTTGTCTTACTGTATACTCCAAGCATAGTATTAACTAGCAGAGTTGAGAACCTGACTCAGCCACTCTAGTGCTTGCACAATAGTCTCATGAATAAAGTAGTGATAAGTGTCAAGTATGAAGTTTTTGTATGGGTAATTCAGCATGATCTCTTATCATTAAGGCAGTTTTAGCTACAGCCTCTGTTGAATGTTTGACCTTTCAGAAACAGTCATAGATGCTCAACCCTTGACATGATTGAGGCATTCAATTGGCAACGTAATGGCAAATTGTTTACCCTCTCCACAGTGGAAGAACAGCAATATGTTCTTACTGGGATAAATGTGTTTTCCACCTGTGGCTTTGGCTCTCTTGCCATCAATGCCTTGGCCATTAAACTATCCAAAGATGCATAGAATGCCTAATGTTCTTAATAACACACCTTAGGACAAAGGAATACACTTTGTAGCAGAGAAGGTACCACAATATGCATGCAACCAAATGATCCACTGGTGCTATAATATACTATATTAAACAGAATCTATTGGTCTGATAGAACATTAAAAGATATTTCTTTTAAAGGTGAATGTAAAGGTGCAACTAAGTATCAATTTAGGGATGGTACTTTGCAGGGTTGGGGCTCTGTGCTTTAACATGTTATACTTTGAACCAATGGACATTGTAAGATATTGTGTCCTAGAATGTATAGATTTGTAAACCAAGGGTAGAGGATGAGAGTGGCTCCTCTCACTAAAATTCCCTTGGAGAATTTGAGCTTCCTGGACCTGCAACATTAAGCTCTGCTGGAGTAGGGAAAATGCTTCTTCTGGGTACATAGGAAGCATTCCAGTAAGGATACAGTTTTAGTAACTCCCCATCATTTTGGCTTCCTTGTGTGTGTAGGTCTGCAGACAAAGGAATAAGTTACTATGCTGGCAGTTGTAATTGACCTTCATTATCATGAAGAAATAGAAATATTGCTATACTTTATCAACCATAGATGATGACAATTGTAAATTGGTAATTGCAGCAATTACAGCCTGACAGGGTCATGGTAATCATGGGTCTTTGGAAGTGACCTAGACTACAAAAGCACTGGATAAACATGGGGGGAATATAGAATGGGTTGTAGAAGAGGAAGATGATGGATGTCATCTTGGGAACAAGGGTAGTGACAAGACCCATTAACTCTTGTTCCTTTAACACTCTTGTGTTTGAAGAATCAATAATGGAGTGAACTCACATAGAGCATAAACTCCTCTACACATGGAAAGATGTATACTGTTTCTAGTGCTGTTGGTGTCTTGCACATACCCCTTTCCACGTAACACTCCCAGGAATTTGGATTGTTCTCTACTCTGAGCTCCTGAGAATCTCTGGCTGAGGACTTTTCTTTGAATATCGCAAAAGCTAAACTCACAAGGTGGGGAAACCTAGAATTGCTACAGAGAAAAATGCCCTAGAGCAGCTCTAGACCAGCAAATAAATGCACAGCTTCTTTGTTTCTTAAGGGGGACAACTACAAGTCATAGAATTTATAGAGTCTCCTAGATGGCCACAGCAAGAATGTGCCCAAATTAATGCATCCTTTATTGGCATCCTCCCCTTTTCTTGCTCATATTCATATTTCTGAACCAGTGTCTTCCAGAATTCTTTTCCAAATGAACTACTTGCACTGAGATTTTTGTCTCTGGGCCTTCTTTATTTAATAAATAAAACTACTAGATCAACATAGATGGCAATCCAGGGTGATGATTCCTGACATTCACAACAACCAATTTATAGGTTATTTTTTAGATGTTAAAAATAGCAGAAACCTTGTTATTACATACCTTTATTTGCAAAATAACTAAAATTTTAAGATTAAATTGTTACTTGGTAGACCATGCTGTTCTCTGAAAGAATATCCATTCTTGGCTTGATGGATTTACGTGACGGTAATGGTAATGGCCTCACAGTCTACAGATGAAGCAGTAGCAGGTTTCAGGTGGCAGATGATGAGTTTGTTCTGGATATGTTACATTTGAGGTGCTTAAGTGAAGATAAGCCAGTATGCAGTTGGATGTATCATTTTAAAGCTCCAAAAAGAGATGTGGTCAACAAAATTTAGAATAAGATCTCTTTTTGAACAGTCTTTTTATTGCTACCCTTATGTCTTTGTTTCTTAATGTATAGATGACAGGATTTAAGGCAGGGGTGATAGCAAAGTCAACAATGAACAGATTTTTATCAAGTGATGGTGGAGGAGAAGGCGAGACATAAAGAACCATGCATGGAGTGAAAAACAAAAAAACTACAGTGATGTGAGCTGACAACGTGACAAATGCCTTGGATAAGTCTCCTGAGGAACGTTTCCAGACAGTGATCAAAACGAAAACATAGGAAAGGATTAGCAAGATGAATGTGCCCATGGTCATGAAGCCACTGTTGGCAGTAACAATAAACTCATACTTGGCTCTATCTGTGCAGGCAAGTCTTATAATCTTTGGAAAGTCACAGTAAAAGCTGTCTACTTTATTAGGGCCACAAAAAGGCAAGTTTATAACAAAAGCAAATTGAGACATAGCATGGACCACCCCAATTACCCAGCCAGAGATTACAAATGAAACACATATTTTAGGGTTCATGATTTTCAACTAGTGAAGAGGCTTACAGATTGCTGCACATCTATCAAAAGCCATGGCCATGAGTAACACCATTTCCACTCCTCCCATGATGTGGATGAAGCATATCTGTGTCATACAACTTTGAAAAGAAATTACATTGTATTCATTTAAAAGGTCTGAGATTATTTTAGGGATTGTGGTAGAGGAAAGACCCACATCAATGAGGGACAGGTTAGCTAGCAAGAAGTACATAGGGGACTGTAAGTGAGAATCAAAAATTACCAAAACCAAAATGAAGAGATTTCCCAGGATGACCCCTAAATAAAGCAAACAACATATCAAAATGAGAAGAAATTTTTTCTCTGTAGAACAAGAAAGAGCCAGTAACACAAGCTCAGTGACCACAGAATCATTTAGTCCACCCATTGACTGGGACAGAAGTGATGATTTTCAAGTGACCTGAGGATAAAAATAGAAAAGAATAAATATCATTGGAACAAGTGGATTCTCTATTTTCCCTGCTAATTAAGTTAGATATAATTGGAAGTAGAAAAATGAAGGATATTGAAGAGATAAGATTAACAACAAATTTATTATGTAAAGGACTCCCTGAGGAAAAAATATGTGACTATAAATTTTTACATATGGAGCAAAAAGGGGCACTTAATTTTCATCCCAAAGTTAAACTCTTTCTTCTTTCTCTAAAATATTCCTGGATTATTTCCCTTACCACTTCTCTAGGTATTCTTCCACAACATAAATGCTGTCTTTTATGTCACATGACTATTAATACTTTTGGACTAATGTTATGTTCTTTTACCTGTTCCTGTCTGAGCCCATTAACATTCTCTCACTTCACTAGCCTAATAGAGATCACCCAGGTCAAAAGTACTGAAACGCATCCCATTACTCCGTATCTTGGGCTTAAAAAATGTAAATGGAACTCAGGTGCACAGGATTTAAACATTATAATAATTGATTTATGACATATCATCTCTGGTTCATTTTTAATCAATAGATTGATAGTCAAGGAAAAATAAATTATTGAATACCTGATAGTAAAGAAAAGTAAATATAACAGTGATAATTAATCAAAGATACCAATTGGTAAATAACCAATGACAATATAATATTACAGATAACATTTATTGAGTGCCTCCTCCATTCGGAACATTGAGTCAGCCCATCCAAATGACTCCATAGGTAGGTGCAATTGTATTATGCCTGTTTTACAAATGAAGGAACTGAGGCTCAGAAAAATGAAGTGGCAGAGCTAAGACTTGTATCCAGAGCCAGAGGGCTTCAGAATGCATGTTCCTAACCATGGCACCATGCTCTTCAAGGCCACCATTTCCAAGCGTACTCTAGATCTCTCCAAGGCTGTTAATGCCTCAATTAACCTTTGTCCACCTTCAAGTTTTCACTTCTCTTGATCTGCTGCAAATAGAGTCTCTCCTTTCAAAAATCAAATCTATCAAGGATGAAGGGTGAAGATTCCTTTTGATTCTTCCCTTCTCTCTTAAACCCTTAACAGGTAAGTAAGTTTATTTTAATTTATACATTCCATTTACTGAACAAGCCAAAATAATCTAGCTTTCCCTCTAGAAAATCATTTTAGAGAAGTTATCAGGGATACAGCACACAATTTTCTACATATGAAAATATCACATGCAATAATCACTTTTTAGTCATTGTTTTATTTATTCTCCAAGTTTGCTACTATTGACCCTGTCTTTGTTTTGAAATTTCTTTTGCCATTGATTGCTAAATATGTTGCCTATCCCTAAACCTCTTCCATCCCCATTTCCTACTAAGAGAACACCTAACTGATTAGGTATTTGGTAGAGATCTCTCAATTTGGAGGGATGATAGGCCCCTATTCTAGCCCCAGGATGTAACATGATCATCTAAGTACACTTAGCCATGATTGGTTTAAGAAGAGCATGTAATATAGATAGGAGTAATGAGTTGTAGAACAATGTCTTCTGTGAAAGATTTTCTTTCCCAGATTAACATACAAAACTTCATTTGGAGAAGGCTCTTTTCCTGGTCCCTTTATTCCTGCATTAAGTGTTAATGTGATGCCTACATGTACAACAAGCATAAGCTCTTTAAGAGCTTACCTATATATTAAAATGATAATGTGAAAAGATAGAAAAAGAACCCTGGGTCTCAAAGGTCTTTAACTGATGCCAGCAAAGTTCTACCTTCTGAAATTTGTAATTTGAGAAAAATCAACCCAGTTTGTCTAAGAGATTGTAAATAAGGCATTGGGGGTTGCAGCTGCATTCCTGATATTTGTATAATAGCACTCTTAACTTTTCTCCTACATTTCAGACTTTTTTGTGTCTTTCACTAATAAATGTGTTCTTTTGTCCTGCTTACCCTCCAATTGTTGATGTAACTCAGGAGTTCATTTTATATCTTTCTTTTTTCACCCAAATATGTTTCATTGTTTTAACTATCTATATTTATAGTCTTGGACTTTAGCTTAATATATCCAAAACTATACTGGAGCCCATAAATGGACAACCACAAGTAGTTCAAAGTTAAAATGTCCAAGAGTGATTTTATTATTTTATCATCTATTTAAATCCCTTAGGAAACATTATGACTATTACCCCAGACGCCCAATTCAGGAACCTATGTGGCACCCTTGTCTTCTCTTTCATGTTGTATCCCAAATGGACAATTGTGCCTCCTGAATATTTCTCAGATTTGTTTCCTTCTACTCATTTCCGCTGTGAGTTCTTACTTCAGGTTTATGTACGTTCTCATGTTGACAACTGAAAAAACTTCTGAATGAACCCTGTCTCCAATCTTACCTAATTTCAATTTATTCTGTACTCTGATTTCAGATCTACCTATCTAAAGATAAAATATGATCATATTACTCTCATTTTAACTTTTAATTTTATCATAAAGAATATTTGAAATTCAATGTATATCACACAAGACTCTTCATGAACTAGACACTATAGTTACTACATTTTTTCATGTCTTCTGCCTCTGCATATGCTCTTCCTGTGCTATTCCCGGTCACTAGAAAGTGGAACCATCACTGGCTTTAAGGCCAGATAGACTTCAGTTGCCTTCCCAGTCTGCCAGCTACTTCAGAGCTATATAAACTTGGGCAAGGTACTAAATGATGCTGATAATGTTTCTTTGTCTAGAAAATGAGAGAAGTGGAATGCACTTCTCTTGATACTGTATTTGAGATAGCATAGGCAGAACTATTTTTACAAGTGTTACTTCCCTTTCCTTTTATCCTTCAAGACATGGATCAAATATCTCCTCCACCTGATGTATTCATTGAAGACCACAAGCAAATACTTTCTTTCTATGAACTATTGTTCTAACATGCATATTTTAACAATTGAAGTATATTATACTTTTTGTATGCTGCTGCTTCATTTTCTACTATGATCTCTTTAAGAAAAGGAGCTTCTGGTGAACTTTGTGTACTCCAATACTTACAATTTCTAAAATAGTGTATGCACTAATACATAGTCTTCAGTAACGTTCATAATAGAAAGTTCAAAAAGATATGTTACGCAAAATAAGTGTCCTAGATGCCCCGATGGGGATCTCTGCCAAGTGACTTTGGGGATTGAACTTACTAATACCTGCATGGTGGTAAGGAAACAGAAAGCAGTCTGGAATTCAGTGGCTCTCCTGTTTTATGACTGTCTGCTCAGCGTGATCTTGGCATCCCACATTTTCAACTAAATCTTAAATCTAATGAAATAAAACTAGAAGAAAAGGCTTTTAAAAATATTTTTGCCTTGAACTACATGTGTAGAGGTACTGCAAAATATCCGGTGAGTTTCTCAAATTACAGTTGAGTACTAACGTAAAGCATTTTATAAAAATATTGCAGAACAGGAGAATATCACCAGACATTTGGAAAGGCTCAGTAATTCAAAAGAACACCATAGTGTTCATAACGAAAGCCCCTACAAAAGCTGTTTGTTGCATTAATAAGGAAGAGAATTTTTAATATACTTGAATTTATAACCCAAGAGTTTTTGATGGACATGATTAAATAAGCACAAAATTAAGGTAAATTAACATGAAAAATATATACAATACTCAATTAAGTTTCAAAAAATTATAAAACCCTATGAATGTAAATATGTATGTGGAAATATTTAGATGTTATACAACAATGTGTTTGGGGAATTTTTAGATTTTATATTTTTGATAAATATTAACTCATTTTCTATAGTTTTACAAATAATATTTATGGATTAAAGGGTTTTTTTTAAATTTCCAACTTTTATTTTAAGTTCAGGGGTACATGTGCAGGATGTGCAAGTTTGTCACATAGGTCAACATGTGCCATGGTGCTTTGCTGCACAGATCATCCTGTCACTCGTGTATTAAGTCCAGCATCCACTAGCTATTCTTCCTGATCATCTCCCTCCTCACCCATTGCCCTCTGACAGGCCCCAGTGTGTGTAGTTCCCCCCACGTGTGTCCATGTGGTCTCCTGATTTTTTAATTTTTAAAGACATTTTCAAGTTAGTGGAGGAAATAAGAAAAATGATATGAGTAATTTCATAAATATATATATAATGAAAGTATAATTTCATTGTACTACTGTATAATGTACTGGCTAACATCACAGATTCTGGGGCCAGACTACCTGGTTTTGAATCTCCATCTCCCGGATTTATGAGCTATGTGTCCTTGGGTGAGTTGCTTCACTTCTCTGTCCCTCAATTTCTTCATCTGTAAAATAGGAATAATAACAGTACTTACCTCATAGCGATATTAAATGAGTTAATATCTGCCAAATATTTGAGCATACCTGGCACATAGATATTCAGTAAGTATTTTTTATAATAATTATGATTTTTAAAGACATAGTCATTCAGTTCTGTCCAAACACAGAGATAGTTTGGTCAGCCGGATTGTGCTCAGTTGAAATAGCCAAGACTTAGACATAACCTTTTATTTTCATGATTCTAGTTTTAGAAATAAAAGAAATAGGAAAATGATGACTTTTTTTTTTTCAAAGATGGGGTCTCAGTTTCTTGCCCAGTCTGGAGTACAGTGGTACCAACACAGCTAGCTGCATCATCCACCTCCTGGGCTCAAGTGATCCTTCCGCCTCAGCCTTTGGAGTAGCTGGGACCACGGGCACTCGGCACCACACCTGCCATATATATATTAGCAGAGATGGGATCTCACTATCTTGCCTAGGTTGATCTCAAACTCCTGGCTCAAGTGATCCTCCCATCTAGGCCTCTCAAAGTACTGAAATTACAGGTGTGAGCACTGCGCCCGGCAGAAAATGAGGACTCTTTACATATCGATTTAATAAAGATAAAGGCTCTCTGAAAAGAAAGTTATCCCATGGTACTGCTGAAATTATGAAAATGAGACCAGAAGGATACAAAACAGCATGAGTGACAGTCATT